TTTGGAGTTTGACCACATATTAAAATTCGACTGTTTTCCTTCGTTGGTCTACACTACGACCAAATTGCACATGTGGCCGTAAGAAACGTCCTACCCCGTTTTGCTTTGACCCTTAAAAACTGCTTAACTTCATTATTTTCATCTGCAACTTAGTACCATTCTAAATTTTCCGGTACTTCGTTACTACTTTCCATTTCTTATCTGATCTTTTAACCTGTATACACGTATTGGGCTGCAGAAATCCAGATCTGGCTACATTTGGAGTTAAATTACTGCACATTGAAATTTCAAAGGCCTTGCTAAAACTGCAGAGTGAACGCTTGTTGAGCCGTCTCAGCTTGCGTTCACTCTGCATCTCCTAACAACCTGGCTTTTTTTTCTTTTTTCTGGTGTTTTGAGATATAATACATAAGCTTTTGGAGAGTCCCACACTTATAGCTTAAGAAGTCCTGACAGTGTTAATTTCTGGATTGTAGATGCAGTTGCTCTATGGGTATGTACGCGTACAAACCTCACCGGATTATCGGTTTCTGAGGTTGTCATCCGGATTGTACACGGTCGATATGAAGACTGTCTTATTACCATTCGAAATATTCATTTCGGAACAGAGAATGATTGTGCATTGCATAAATGAACGAGCAATTGTACAGTTGCTTTCCTAACTCATCAAATATCGTCGTTACTACTAATCAGTATTCCAGGCATCCTTTCTGTTGCAACAAACAGTTTTATCAGAAAATTATTGCGCAAAAATGTTCCTATAATTTGTTGGTAGTTTTTCTTTCTGCTGATAGCCTTTTGCTCTGCAGAGATATTATTGGTCGTGGAAGCGGGTTTATAAGCCTGGGAGGACAGAGGGTGCGTCCAAGCGGTGATTTAAATCTCCTGACAATGTAATTAAATATTTTATTGAAATCCGGTGATGTCAGTTCAGTTCGTGCTTCTGCAAATCGCTCACGAATTATTTCGCAAACAAATTCAACAAACGTTAGCACTTTTTTTAATACAGCCTTGCGCAAACCAGAAACGCATAACAAAATAATGCTTATATATTCATATACTAAGACCACTGGGCACAAGTGTGATAATCCATGTAAGTGTTTTTACTGTGATGCTCCCACAGCCAGGCTCAGTTAGCTAAACCCTTCGATCTGGAACAGCTAGCCTTTTTTCAGCTTTGTTAAAAAATGAAAGAGTTCAAGCTTTTTTTCGAATCATATTAAATCATACGGCCAAAAAAATAGCTAAATTTAGAAAACAAAAAAATAGCTAAACTAAAAAAACAGCTAAATTTGCAGATGAATTCGACGGCTTCGCATCATTCTGTGGATATTATTGGTGGAAAAACGAGCTTGCATACCTCGGCAATGTTTCGATAGATATTTTTGCAAATGCTTATTTGGAACCAGTGCCAACAATGCTGACTTTATTCCAAACTCCTTTTGATAATTTTGGGGGTATTGATCCAGTACTCGGTAACCTTAGCTATAGTTCGCACATGAATAGACAAGGTTTGGCCACGGATGATTTGGTTCAGCTTTCGGTCCCAGCACCTTCAACAGCATTCTTTCACTCAACCTCAACCAGAGCAAGCAGTAGCAGTACTTACGCTGCAGCATCTTCTAGCAGTTCAGACGGTGGCGATGGTGCGGAACCAGTGCCGACTCGATCGACTGCAACATATTCCTGGATAAAATTAATAAATTCAAGTACAAGTGTGTCGCCTCTTTCAACCAGTTATCCGCCAACAGTTTCTCCAACGACCACAGCTACAGTATCTTCATTTGTAAATAACTTGCAAATGGGAGGATTTTCCGGTTCCGCAGTAACACCTTTTACTACTGTGGAGCAGAGCAGGACCTTTCAATCTAGCATGTCCGTTGCTACAAGCACTATTTTACGTACTACTGCTGGAGCAGCTACGTCCACAAGTATACCAACGATAATACAGTCTCCTACCATGGTACTAACAAGTGGACCCTTGCATCTAACTGCGTTAGTTGCCTCAGCTACTCCATTAACAACAACTACTAATCTCCCGTTCACTGAATCCACTATCAGCCTGACATCCGCCGCCGTGATTACCGATGCGCCTCTCTTCACAATACCATAGCCCAAAAGCTCGTTAGCTACTAGCAGTACAGATCATGCGAGCCGGACAGTGAGTATTGGAGAAGCTGACTCAGTGAGCGGCTGATGGGCAATTTGATGAAAATCAGGACAGCAACCAGACCGAATTTGTTGAAATTACCTGGGATACTATTGATCAGAGCACTGCTTCGGCTACGATGACAGCTAGGACGATAACCGTCCACCAAGGTAATGCATGCAACTTAAGTTTTGCGTAGATTTCATAGTTTGAGGAAAAGCCAAAGTACTTGGAATTTGGAACTGACTTAGAAGCTGCTGCTTTATGAATTTTAGAAGCAGCCCAAACTGGTACAATGGAGTCACCAAAAAATACAATATGTATCGAAGTTAAGCCGCCGGCAACTCGAAATACACGTAAGCTATTCCTTAAACTTTCTTGTTTCATTTTCAGAAAAATTTTACTGTAAACTGAACCTGTTCATATGTCGACATTCTTGGTATATTTGATTCATGCTTTTCGATATTTGTTGCGCACTCCTGCCACCTCAGTAATTTGGGGATTCATTCTGTATCATTTTGCTTGTATACTCATGCACGCAAAACTGCTCTGCATGAATTTGTGTTAGTGGAGCGGGTTTGTGTGCTGACTTGAACCTTCAACAGTAAAAGTATGTAGTGAGATGATAGTGG